GTCGTTTCTTCCAGTTTCTATGAATTTCCCAAGTTCTTGATTGCCAACAAGCCGGTGATTGTCTGATGATCAGCAGAGCTTTAGAGCTCCGTGCTTTACTGGAGAACGTTCTTTAATTTGAGGTGTCTCTCTTCACGCTGACGAATGGAGCAGCGTTAACTGCGTGCGGAGGCATGCCGCAGCGCTGCCAAGCCCGACTCCGGAAAGCGCGGCGGAACGGCGCTGTGATTTCCCCCTGGGGACGGGGGCTGCACGCTGGCTCCTTGCTGCCAGCGCCCTGCTGCTGTCCGGCCCTCGTCACCCTGCCGCTCGCTGCGCGCGCAGTTGCATTTTAGCAGTGATTTTTGGAGCAGCAATATAGCTACTCGAATAAAAAAATAAAAAGAGCCCGTATTCCTCAATGTAGGCTGTGTAATTGTGAAATCGTGTTTGCATTTCATATGATGCTTCTACAGCGCGGGACGAAAGGTACTCGCACTCGCCGGTGGGTTGGCAGCAGACGCTCCTCATCCGGAGCCATTTACATTTTCTCTTCTCCCCCCGACGCACCAACTTGCACGAGACTTTTGGAATGGTACGGGGCTGCTTCATCAAACCCGGGTGTGCGGTGGGTTGACTTCATACGCTCTCAATGTCAGGGGTGTGTATATTGATTTTTGTACCATTCGTGCATGCTGAATAAATCCCGTTGGACTGGGAAGGCTGCTGGCGCTGGGGGTTCTGCACAGCCCGACCGAGGGGATCTCAGCGCCAACTGTGGCTTCTGAGTGTCTTTTATTATACCTGAATGATCTTTTTGATGGATTACGAAAGCTGAGAATTCTTTGGTTTTTTCTTGTCTTTCCAGGGGACATGAGTTTTGGGTGGATTTGAACATGATGAAATTATATGAACCCCTTGAGTTTGACCAAATGCGGCGTCTGTCCACACCTTCCTGCCCCAGCTCCAGCTCCAGCTCCTACACGGTCTGGAAGTACTTCTGCAGGGACCACTTTGGCTGGAGAGAATACTCCGAGGTATGGAACGCATTCCAGAATCCTGCTTTTGGGTGCGACCCAACACTCTGCGCAGTCTGTGCTATAAACTAGATAGACATTTTTAGTCTGTTTCCTCTTCGAGCATTCATAGAATCACAGAATGGTTTGGGTTGGAAGGGACCTTACAGATCATCTGGTTCCAACCCCCCTGCCATGAGCAGGGACATCTCCCACCAGCCCAGGGTGCTCAGAGCTCCATCCAACCTGTCCTTGAGCACTGCCAGGGAGGGAAGTTTACTTGGAGTTACTGCTGAGGAGGATGATCAGGAAGGTCAGTGTTGACCTGAAAAAGCGGTAAAAGGAGACCTCTGCTCTGCTGACTGCACCTTGAATTATCCCTGGAAACACCAGAGCGCCGGGGGCTGACCAAGCTGTCAAATCTGAGCACAAACTGACCCGTGTCGGTACCCAGAAAGTCCTTTCTAATCCCTAGAAATATGGTTTGAAGGCCGGGGGGCCAGCTTTCGGCAGCCTTTTGAACACCACTCCCGTTTAGCTTTGCAGTTTTTCCGTGACGTAGCCGTCCCCAGCGATGCCGCGAGGCAGGACGTGAGGCTCCAGCGTCGCTGGGTCGCGTCACAAGCAGGGG